GGGGGGGGGCGTTAAGGGGGAGGCCGGCAACGGCCGGCGGCAGCCAGGCCCCCGCAGCTTCCCCCGGGGAGCTTGTCCGCCCCCCTCCCCGCCAGCCCCCCCGGTTTGTGAGAGGCACGAAGTAGCGTATTTGCACCGGCCTTCCCCAGCCTGAGCTGCTGCTTCTGTCCGCCCCGGGGGGAGCGCGTCCCGGGCGGCGGCAGGAGAGCCGGGCGTCCCCCCGCTCCCCAGGCACCGCCGTCGGGGCTGGCAGCGGGGCCGCCTGGAACAAGTGGGGTCCCTGATTTTTTTTTTTAATTTTTTTTTTTTTTTCCTTGAGAACTCCTCGAAGGCAGGGGATTTCACAGAAAGTGAAGGGGAGGACAGGGCCCCGAAGTTATTACACAAAATAATGAGTTCTCCAGCCGATCCCTTCGGGCTGAGCTTGTGCCAGTGCGGGGATGCACACATCCCGCCCCGCCGCCCTCCAGAAATCCCCAGATTAGCAAGAAAACTTGGGGGTGTTTCAAGCGCATTCCAAGAAAATTAATGTGGAAGGTTTTTTTTTAATCGGGAATGGAGTGTAGTTTCTCTCTCCCTCTCCCGAGGTTTTTCAGATAAATTGGAGTGCTTTCCAGAGGGAACCTGGAGAAGAAATAATAGAAATATTAAAGCACTGTCTTGGTTGCGCTGATCTTGTGGTGTCTACAGCACCTTACTTTACGTGCCCGTTAGACTCTAAAATCCAGTCAAAACTGTATTCATCGCAGCAATATTGGTAATAATGTATTTTATCCGAAGCTGCATTATCTCCCTCACAACAGAAACTACAAACAAAATGTATGTTCCAAAAGAAAGGGAAAGGTTTTATTTAATCCAGAAAATAATTAAAATCTCATGTATTTTTATTGGTTTTAGTATCCAGCAGAGTGAAAATATTGAAACTCCGAGACCCCTTGCATTAAAAAGTCACAACTGTTCTATTTTATTAGTTCTGACTGTGTGAAAAAAATTATAAGGACAACATTGAAAAAATCCGGGTTTTAGAGCCCCGAATGGCCATAAAAACAATAAAATCAACTATAAAACCTGCACTAGTGATATTAAAAAATTATGTAGTTCAATAAATGTGACATTTCATGAATGCGGATTTAATAGTCTCCAACCCGTGGAAGGAGGAAGGCTGAGGTCTAACAATTGAATTTGAAAGGGGCGGTGCTGTAGAACTGCAAAATTAAGTGCTTCATTTTTCTTGTTAGGGATTATGCAGTGGTAGTGGAATGTAATAACTGTGCCATTAAAACTTCCTTTTAACAAGGCCTATTGCTTGTATAAAAGTCAGAAAAGAATAATCTCTTCCTCTATTTATTTGTTTTCCAATAATGCAGCAAAACATGTTGTTTTTTTTCTTTTCGCTTAAACTTGTTCTCAGGATTTTGCATCGACAGCTTGTAAAATATTGTGGGGGCCCTCCATACTGCTGCCTCGTATCATGCACGTCGTTATTCCAGAGGGCAACGGGTCATCGGTTTACTGTACATTTATTAAGTAAATCAAGCTGCAAATCCAACACTTCCAGATGAAAACATTAGCTAAACCCCTTGGAAAGAGCAATGCCTGGGAGACTGAGCAGAGAGAGAAAAAATAATCAAAACTGTCAGCTCGCTATACGTGTACCTGATATTTACAAGACACAAGACCACGCTTTAAAGGTGAGTTTTGGCATTTGTTAACAATGTAAAGAAAAAAAACCCCAACCTCCCTATGTTATTAAAAATATATATATTTCCATTTCACCAACACCCTTTCGTCTTGCTCTGAGCCTCTTGGTTATTAAGATCTTCGTGGGTTTGAACTGGAGACCTTCTCTTTTTTTTAAAAAAAAAAAAAAAAAAGAACGTTAAACCAGCACCTGCTGTTCCTTAACAGCTTTCCGTGCTCGCTGTCAGCTCGGGGGCGTGTGAGGGAGACGGGGGACGGGCGACCCGGCGGGGTCCGCGAACGCGCAGGGGGCACCTGCCGCCTCCGCCCCCCCGGAGGGGGGGGGGAAGGCGGCGCCACCCGCCGCCGTGGGGGCGAGGGTGGGGTGACGGGGCGCGGGGAGAGCGGGGGTCCCGGCCCCCCCGCCAAGTCCGGCCGGCAGCGGCGGTCGTCGAGGGGCCGCGGGGCCGGGAGCCGTC